CATCCTCATCAAGAACTCCTTTGTACACAGACCCAAAACTACCAGCACCAATTAAATTAGCATGTGAGAACCCGTCAGTAGCTTTGAGTAGAGTAGCATATGACACTTGCAAAATAGTGTTCCCCAAAGTGCTCAATGAAATTTCTTTCCTTTTCTTCCTTGACGAACAAAGAAAGAAATAGGAGAACACCATGGCTATTCCTAGAAGAGTAAGTCCAAATACTAAAGGAAGTATTAGTTTCAAGCTACGAGACAATCTTTGTTTCTTGGTCTCTTTAGACTTGCACTTGGGAAGCTTTAAATTAGCAATAGGGCTGCACAAATTAGTGTTACCAACAATTGAAATAGCACTCGCATTTTTGAAAACACCTCCAGTTGGTACCACTCCCCAAAATTGGTTGAATGATAAGTTCAGATTATTTAGGATTCTAAAGCCTTCTAAAAAATGTGGAATTTCACCTGAAAAATTATTGCAAGAAAGGTCTAGATCTTGAATCCCTCTCACTGAACTCATAGACAAAGGAATGGACCCGTTGAAGAAGTTTCCTTGCAAATGCAGGACTTCTAAACTCTCACAACCACCAAGGCTACTGGGGAGTTCTCCAGATAACATGTCATCAGAAAGATGCAGTTCACTTAGACTATGGAAATTCCCAACCTCCGGGGGAAGGGAACCTGTGAAGAGGTTATTAGACAAGTCCAAAGAAATCGATAAGGAGGGGAGTCTAAAAACTTGTTTGGGTATTGTGCCATTTAGGAGGTTATCAGAAAGATCCAACGCTTGCAACCCATGGCATTCCCCTAGGCTTGAAGGAATGCTGCCCTCAAGATGATTTCTAGCCAATCCAAGAAGGAATAACTTGGTTAAATTTCTTAAGGAAGATGGAATATTTCCTGATAATGTGCTATTGGAAATATCTAATATTCCAAGGTTTGAAAGCTTACCCATGTCAGAGGGGATGTTACCTGTGAATTTACTATTCCCCAAATACAACGATTGCAAGCTCACCAGATTCCCTATCCCAGATGGGATGCTTCCATATATTTGGTTACTGTGAACCCAAAACTTTTCAAGTTTGGTTGAGAAATTGGATATTGACATGGGCAATGTCCCTCCAAAATTGTTGTTGCCAATACTCAACTCTTTTAATTGTGTGGCATTGGTCAAGTCCGAGAGAAAACTTAAGTCACCATCTTTACCGCTTCCAATATTATTATCTGGAATGTCGAACACCTGGAGGTTGTGAAGCTTTTGGAGATTCGGTACCCGTCCGATTAGGTTGTTATGCCCAACATCAAATAACCAAACACTTGTAACATTGGATATTGAGGGAGGTATAGACCCAGTGAGTTGGTTTGAGTGGACGCTGAAGAATCCGAGATTAGGAAGACTTTGGCCAATATCTGATGGCATACTCCCTTGAATTTGGTTATATGGCATGGCAAATATAACAAGAGAAGAGAGGTTATAAATGGAGGAAGGGATGCTACCAGACAACTGATTTAAGCCCAATCCCAAGAAGGTTAATTTTTTCAATTGGCCAAGAGAACTGGGAATGTTTCCCATCAAGTTATTACTGAGAAGACTTAGTCCCTGGAGAGACGAAAGGTTCCCCAAGGAAGGAGTGACCTGTCCCGTTACATTATTATATTGTAATGCAAATTTTTGCAGTTTCGAGAGCAATCCAATTTCTGAAGGAATTTTACCCACCAATTTGTTGCGAGTGAAATCCACAAGGATAAGGTTGAAGCAATGTGATATATTGTGTGGAATACTGCCACTAAACGAGTTAACGTCTAATCGCAATACCTGCAATCTACGCAAATTCCCAATTTGTGAAGGAATTTCATGACTGAAGCTGTTGTTTTGCAGCCACAGCTCCCTTAGAAAACTTAGATTTCCAAAGTTTGGGGATAGTTTCCCTACCAGATTTTGAGATTGCAGGTCCAGGATAGTGACCCTTTGGCGATGTCGTCGACTGCATGTCACACCATGCCACATGCAAAAGTGCATGGATTCGTTCCAGGAGCTCATTACGTTGTAATTATGGAGATCTTGATTTATTTGAGCTTTGATGGCTAGCAGCGCCAGTCTATCCGTCGTATTCCCTCCGAGTCCCGATTGCAGGGAGCTCCAACAGCAAATGAACACTGCACTGAAAGGCAAGTATATTAAGAACAATTTCAAAACCAAAACCCCCATTCCTGATCTGGTTAACTATATAACTAGAGAGAGAAGCAGAAATAAATACAGAGATGGGTGTTGAGTTGCGAATTTGGTCTGGTGAGTTCCATTTGTTGCATGACAAGGAAATTTATAGAAGGAAAAAGCCCAAGTAAATGATAACCACTTTGACTGCCTTTTTAGAAGACTTCACTGCACTTTCAGTGAAAAGCAAGGACCAAGATGATTAATGCACAACCAAAACCCCCATTTCCGATCTGGTTAACTAATGACTAGAGAGAGAAGCAGAAAAACATAGAGAGATGGGTGTTGAGTTCCATTTGTTGCTTGACAAGGAAATTTATAGAAGAATAGGATCATAGGAGGAACTTACACCACAGTTTCTGGTTCTTGAAATTCAAATATGAGTAGGAATAAGTCCAAGTAAATGATAACCACTTTGACTGCTTTTTTAGAAGACTTCACTAGCTTACTTCCACTACTGGGAACTCTTGTTGGGCACTTTCAGTGAACACCAACGACCAAGAAGATTAAAGCACCTTTATCCCAGAAGCTGAGTGGAAACAATTTGGCAACCATCCATAATATCCTTATCATGCGCTGTGATTCGGATTGAAATTTGGTGCTCCAGCACAAGTCGGAAATGAAAAAAGAGTTCATATATATATATATGTAACACTTAAGAAACAACAAATAGAAAGAAGGAAAAAAAAGTTTCTAAAGTGTCCATCGAGTATCATTTGACCTCATGTTGGTCTCATCCAATGTGAAGCCTCTTGCAAATATATGAAACCCTATATTTTGATCACATCAGATCTCACACGCTCATGTCACCCAATATGAAAGTTAACCTAACAGAGCAACCCTATATTTTGATCACATCAGATCTCACACGCACAAGGAAATTTATAGAAGCATAGGATCATAGGAGGAACTTACACCATAGTTTCTAGTTCTTGAAATTTCAAATATGAGAAGGATTAAGTCCAAGTAAATGATAAAAAGTAACTACTTTGGCTTGTTTTTTTAGACGACTTCACTAGCTTGCTTCCACTACTGGGACCTATTGTTTGGCACTTTCGGTACGCCAAGGACCAAGACCAGTAAAGCACCTTGACTTCAGAAGCCGACTGGAAACATTTGGCAACCATCCAAAATGAAAAAACAAATACATGGAACCCTATATTTTGATCACATCAGACGTCACACTGGTGTCACTTAATATGAAAGTTACTTTGCTAGGCGACCCTAGCTATAAATGGAAATTTTGAAGTCTCTACATTTTTTGAGGAGCTGGACTGTGAGATTGCTGATTTCCTCATAGTTTCCCTAAAGTACCATTGCAAGAAAGCTTGTTGTGGATGCAACCTTTCTAAAAATTGTAACAGTTACTAGTGAGATCAAGCTTTCTTAATTTTTAAACTTCATGGGGGGTCAAGACTCAAGAGCATTGATTGCAAATTGTAACATGAATGTTTGAGTCCCCTTTAAACACGTTGTCAGTGGGTCTCTTCCTTGTAAACATCTCCTGCAAGAGAATTCCAAAACTGTAGACATATCAAGTTATTAACGCCTCACTTCCCATACCATAATCTGCCATTCAAACATCAGAAAATACAGTTAGCAAATTGAGAACAAAATAGTTGAATTATGCAAAATTTAAAAAGAAAAAAAAAGGATATTGTGGAGAGGATGTGAATATTTACCTAAAACCACATAACCAATCGTTCCTATTATTCCAGCGGAACTTATCTGATTTGTTGAAGCTTTTACACTGGTCAGCTATGAGATAAACCTTGCTAATCAAAGTCAGAAACATGTCCAGTTGACATGTTGTCCAAAAGAACAGTACTTGGTTTCAGTTCAGATCACAATGAACTATCGGTGTTTCAGAGTGATTATGAAGATAATCGACTAATCGAGAGCACAAGAAACATCTATGGAAATGCTGAGCCTTTGCAAAAGATTTAAACTCTTGGGTGCCTCTCTTGCTTCTTGAATATCAGTCGGTGGATGCAGCCTCTTCTCTAAGCTTCCTTTTTCCATGTACTCATAAACCAAAGCCTTGAAATCATTACCAAGAGAATCAACACTTGAACATGCAGTTATAATCTTGATGAGATTTCGATGCTTGATATTTCTCAAAGTCTCACATTCATATAAAGAACAATATGTCAGTACAAAACCAATTTATAGTACTAGCAAAGTACATTGTAGAAGCAATTTCCTGACTCATAATTTCGTAAGTCATTTCTTAAATTACGTTTCTTGAAGGCATTAGATTAAACAACATGCCAAACTAGAATGATTGAATGCAACCATGACCGTATTAATAAGCACGCACTTCTATCTATCAAATATTAAGGCGGAAGTTAATATACCAAACAATAAATATTTTTTGACTTGCAATTCCATTTTGACGTAGGGACATTGCTCAAATAATGACACCAGGAACAGTGATTGTTTAGATTGACCCCTCGAAAAAGAGTAACCCGGCCAAGAGTATACCTGTCAAAAACATGATGACTATTACAAAATGCCTGCATATTCTGATACTACGTAGATACGAGGAAAATGAACTTTTATTTCCAATAACAAAACAACAACCTGCCAACACATACAACCCAAAACAACAAAGTAGAAGCCGCTATCAACAAAGTGACCAATTAGTACTACACAAAGAACAGTGATAACACAATGCCTTCTCCAAACCATTATGATCAGAAACAAGCAGGTACATGGAGTATTCGCGATGACAATAATGAAGACATATTATAGGACACATGATATCTACATATCTACACAAAATCCAGTTCTCTGATTTGATAAAAAAAAATGTGCACGTGCCAACTGTGGCTACCAGATTCTCATGCAGGGAATCAATTAGGTTCATGAAGTCAAAAAATTAAATCAAAGATCGAGGAGGAGCTTACCCAACAATCAATAGTATCAAAGAGAGGACCCACAATACATATTGATACGTATTGGGTTTAGATTTAACTGGAGTAGTAACACGTCTAGGGGGAGCATTCCGTTGGGTAAGCCATTTAAACTAGGGGCGGATGAAAAACAAAAAATCCAAGAAGAAATCTAGAGACAAATCCTCCAATATGAGCAAAGTTGTCCACGTGTGGTAGAATTCCAATGCTAAGTTTATTATGATGATGAAAAGGAGAGTAAGCAATGCTGCTAACTGCGGATAGAAACCTGAAACCGTAAGATCAAGGGGTAGTGCACATACTATAAAGAGGTGCATCATCTTCTTACAGAAACTTTATTTACCTTATTTACATACATTGTCCAATTTGATATGAGCTCTGAAAGCATGCTTCCCAGTAAACCAAAACGTGCACCAGAAGCACCAACAGAAATACCATATTGAATAAAAAGAGCTGAAAGCAAACTCCCACCAAAACCAGACATGAGATATAGGAAACCAATTCGAACTGCAGAAGAACAAATCAGAAAAACGTTAGAATTTCAAACCAATTAGTTAAAACAGTTCATCAAAACAACTGTACATGATATAGATCAGCATCAAACTATTATTGTTTCAATCTTTTCAAATAGACGGCATCTCGAAACATTTCAAAATGAGGCGCCATGTCTACATGTACAGGATATCCAAAACAATCCTTGTTCCCACAGATGTGATGGAAAACTGAAATAATATCTCAGCTTCGGTTTCAAGCAATTTTATTCTGTAAAATGGAATACTAGGTCTATAACTAAAGCTTGAACCCCATCTTGGGTGTATACACTCTGTTCTTTGCTCACCGCGGAATAAAACGTCCTCTTGTTTCCATCAAACCTAGCAACAAACCGGTGTAAGCTATAAAGCAACCAGCACGACATGACCACTACTCTAGGATTACAATTAAATAAACGAATGCATAGAAATCCTCTGTAGATTAATCGCAAGGTAGCTAAAGCCATCCGGAAAGTGTTTCTCTTCTAGATTTATGAAAGAATCCAGATGCATACAAAATCCAAATTCTTGCTCAAGCCAAATTCCAATGAATACAAGACTCAGCATATTGGCAAGCACATGGAAAACTCCACCATGTAACCACGTACATGAGATCGTTGATGAACCACTCTCTGCGCGTCTAGAGTACCCACCTTTTCTAACCTTCAGGATGAAAACACATGAGAAACAAGTTACATATAATGAGCTAGAACCGCTTCTAGAGTAGACAGAGGGGGACAACCATGTCGCTTGCAGAGAGAGACAGAGATTGAGAGATTTGGTGCGGATCTTCGATTCCGGAGTGAGAGTGGGGAAGTGAAATTACCATTTTCCCTGCTTGATTCCACATCCAACGGCCACAAGTTATGGGCATTTCTGTAATTCGCACTTAGGAGGGTTGTTCTGTCGGTCTCAATCAGAGTAGGTTGAGGTAGACCTGTCATTTTTAACCCGATCCGTTAAAATTAGTTTTCGGATGGGTGATTAACGGGTCAACCCGTTAACCACTATTAAATAGCTAGTCATTTTGGGTGAACCTGGGAAATCTGTTAATCACTCATTTGACCCGTTTAGACCATCTCCAATGGTGGCTTAGGCCATCTCTAACCGATGGCTGGCCAAATGGCTCGTTTTAGCCCTCCGGCCCTCCAAAATTCTCCAAGATATTAATATTTTAATAAACAGTACAGGGCCATATTTGCATCCGTCTCCAACCGAGGGCCATAGGGCCAAACATAATTTATTATTTAAAAACTACAACTTAAATTTTGTGAAATAGAAGTTATAGGAAAAAAATGGAATTTAAAAAAAAATATGAAACAAATTTTGTGAAATAGAAGTTATAGGAAAAAAATGAAATTTAAAAAAGGTATGAAACAAATTTTGTGAAATAGAAGTTATAGGAAAAAATTGGAATTTAAAAAAAAATATGAACCAAATTTTGTAAAATATAAGTTATAGAAAAAAAGTTATAGGAAGTTATAGAAAAAAAAAAGGTTTAAATTCATAAAAAAAAATTGAATACAACGGCTAGTGACTGGCTAGCCGTTGGAATTCAAATTAGAATTCAAATTAGTGCCGGTTTTAACCAACACTATTCTAACTAAAATTCCCTTCCCCCCCCCCCTAAAACCCACTTCAACCCAAAGTCTAAACCAAACCTAAAACTTAAAACCTAATAGAAAGGCAAATACCAGTCACAATTTAGCCCACAAAATAAAATAGGACCCATGGGCAAGGTATTAAATATCGGTAATATCGGAAATATCGGTAGTCTGAAAACACGGAAATATCGATGGAAATATCGGGATAATATCGATATCGATAAAAATTACATGGAAACCACGGAAATTGTAAGAAAAACTTGGAAATTTTTATTGAAACTTTGCAGGATGTTTATTTAGTCAATTATCTATTAGTTTATCACAAAAAATTGGAAGGAAATGCATTGCATGATGGATTTAACATTATCAAGTTGATTATATAGCGAGCTGACAAACATTGTGAGTGTAGAAAATATGTAGTAATTAATAAAAGAAGTCTAAACACACCATAATCATTTATATATAATGAATTAGTACAATATTTTACACTTTATACATTGCATGGTAAGATACATGAGTGACTTAGTACCACATAGAGTTCCTATGAGGTTTAAATTTTTCACTATCTTCATCATCTCTATGTCCATACCTAAATGTTTCTCTATCATAAATAACTAATGTAGCACACATAAATCATCACCAACCATCAAGGCATGACTACATCATAAATCATAATATATTAACATATGAGTATACTATGTTAGGCATACCATTGTTAAAATTAAGTAAAACCAAACGATGAAGATCATTGGATTTTTTTTTAAGAGATTAAACAAGCATCGGTTATCAAACCATATTATAATATCCTTTTCAATTTCACACCAAGCACAAAAGCATATAAGTTCCAAAACTTACTCTATGTAACAAACTCAAATATCAATTTTACACCAGCCATATTGGAGCCTTCACACGTTCCAAATTATTTAGAAGACTTAAATTGTTTTATCAACAAGATAATGAGCATTCAAATGTAAATACCAAATTAACATAACTACGTAGATAAAACTTGGATAAAATCAACTACCTAAATCATAAAACACGCCTCACAAAAATATAAAATTCATCCTATATATTTTGATCACCCTCTAATCTTATTTAATTAAAAAAAAACTACTCCCCCAAAACTCACACTGCCATTTGCACCAAACCACATTATCCATCATTCGAAGAAAACAAATTAAAACACACAAACCAACAAAAGGTCGATGACATATCACTGAACACTCCAGCTCCTCTCTCACCATGCAGACTCTCACTCTCCACGCATCCAACAGGTGTCCCTGACTCCCTCCACGTGTCCCCTCCACCGATGTCTTTCTCTTCCTTTAAACCCAAACCCTCATCCTCATCTTCTTCTCACTCTTATTTCTCGACCTCCGCCGACAACAAGCACAGATCTCCCACGTCTCTCGATCATTCTCCCACACACACATACACACACGCACAGAGAGCCAAGGTCTCTCGATCCTTCTCCCACTCCCACACACACGCACAGAGACCCACATCGGCAGATCGGCTTCTGCTTCTCCCTCGTCGCCGCCGCCGTTGTCTCTCTCCTTTCTCTCTGCACCGATGGTCCAAGACCCACATACACACATGCACACCCATCATCATCAGCATCCTTCTTCTCCCTATCCTTCTCATCTCTGCAACTCGGCGAACTCCGGCGAGGCCGTGCATGTCGACTCAATTTCCGAACACCTCCGATGGTTTCACGGCAAATTTCATATATACAAATGTTCATCTCGTCTTCTTTTTCATTTTCATACCTAGATCGGAGTCTAGGGTCCTGTTTTACAGTCGGCCGGAGCTTCTACAGCTCCGGCGTTCTTCTTCGAGCGGTCAGCCACCGATATTATCGATAAATTCGATAATATCGCGATATTATCGATAAATTCGATAATATCGCGATATTATCGATAATCCCGAAAACCAGTTGGATACAGAAAAAAAAATCGGTACTCCTCAAAACCGATAATATCGACGATATCGCCGATATTATCGGCATTTCGGACCATGCCCATGGGTGAGAGTGAAAAGTGGGCTATGAAGCCCACACCCGAAAACCCAACTCGCCTCATGCGCCCACTTTCTTCCAGCCGAATGCCCACCCAAGTGGGTTGGTCCCCTCTGATGTCAGGTTACTGTAGCCCCACGTTCAATTTTTTTTTTATATTTATATATTTATTGAATCTAAAGGTTTATATCGAATATAATCAAATCTAAAAATAAAAAAAAGAGCTAACGGTCCAAATTTAAATCCAACGGCTAAAATAATTTTAAAAAATAAGTTAACTTAAAATTCAACCAAAAACTCTATAAATATCTATGTATTTGTTTAAACATCCATACAAAACTCACTTTTTTCCTACAATTCTTCCAATTTATCGGAATTTAAATATTTTTAGGTTAAAATATTTATAAAATTAATTTAGGATAGTTTACATATTTTTTTAAAAAAGTTAATTTAAAAAATAGCCTTAATTCATTATTTGATAATCTGAGGCTAAAATTGTAGGCCAGAAGGGTGAAAGTAGAAATACTGTTTTTAGGTTAAAACCTAAATTTTTTGAGCTAAACATTTTTAGATTTTATATCATCATTGGATATGGTCTTATTGAGGGCTTTTGTGTAATATCAGTACTCCTAAAAGAAAACCCTCAGAACTCAGTCCATCTCCAGTTCTCCACTCTCTCTGCGCACGCCGTGTGCTCCTTCCCTTCTAGCTCCGGACCTCCGGTTATCTCCCTCATCATCTTCTTACAACTTCTCTTTTGTCCATCCTCAAGATTGCTCCTGGTAATCCTCTCTCTCTCTTAAATATGAGTTTTTTGTTGTTTCTGGGTTCTCTTTTGTGGGTGTTCAAAATTGTGGGTTTTGGGTTGTTTTCTGAAATGGGGTTGTGTGAAATTGGACTACTGGGATTTATGGATCTGGGCCGGGAATGTTTGTGAAGTTGAATGGATGCTGATTGACGGGTAATTTTTCAAATTTTGAAAAGAGCAAGAATCGATTAATGGGTTCATAGTTTGATTCCTTGAAATTCAGTAGAAAAATTGTTAACTGGTGGAGAATATTATGTAATTTGCAAGTTGGCATTTGGGAGATTTAGGTATTTAAGTGATGTGATTTGGATTTCCACTCATGATCTTCGTTTTCTAGATTTCTGTAGTAGAATGCATCTGTTTCAGAACCTTACTGTTTAATTGGATGCCCTCAATTACTGTATACCATCTATCAGTCAATTAAATCGGGTTCTTTTGTTTCGTATTCGTTATCTGATAATCCAGTTTAACATTATTCCTGGACATAATTTTTTGATCTTCTTTTCGTAGGGTTCTGATTGGTTCGTTGGTTTGGAAGATTGTAGTTTGATATATATATATATATATATATATATATATATATATATAAAATATGTTAGACGGTTAGTTAATGTTTGTAATTTTGGGTAAAAGATGTGTAATTTGTATTGGAATGCAAAATGTAAAAAATAAAAAAAAAATAAAATAAATTGTTAACGGGTGTTAACAGGTGACTTATTAAGCTTAACGGGTTGGGTTCGGATGACCCGTTAACTTAACAGGTCGGGTTGAACCCAACCCGAACCTAATAAACCCGATTCGTTTACAGGTCTAGTTGAGGACAGTTTACAAAGTGACAGTGTTATGGACCCATAATATTACCAAGGTTTTATGCTTTATTACTATTAGGAATTGTTAATATGCCAGAGGCTATATAAAATCAAAATTTACACAAAAGAAATATAAACAAAAAAACAATTCAAGAGCTTGCTCTCTCTCTCTCTCTTCCTTTCCCCTCCCTCTTTATCCTTTGTCTTACTTGTAGGTTGATTAGAGCAAGTCCACCGGAGTGGACATTACCCAGCACTCAGTCCAAATAGCAGCCCAACACCATGTCCATTTCCTCCAGCCCGCGCAACAGCCTGGCACACAGTCCATGCTGGTCTCTGGGCCAGCTCAAAACAGACTGCCCAAGAAGCCGAGCATTTTGCTAGCGCGTGCATGTCACAGGGCCCGCGTGTAGGCGCACTCAGACCACAACCCGAGTAGGCGACGTGGCCTGCTTTTACCCGTTGGATTTTCAACAGCTATTTTTTGTATACCGTTGGATTTCCAACGGTAAAAAAAATTTAAAATTTAACTTTTAAAATGGACCGTTCAATCACAGATCAACGGTCTACGTTTTTTTCACAAAAAATTAAAAACAATAAAAAAAAAGGCCCAACAGTAAAAAATATGACCGTTGGCCATGTGGCAACTCCCTGGCTCTTGGATTTGAATATTTTTCAAATCCAATGGTCCAGATTAATTAACTATATTAAAATTTATTAAAAATTATAAAAAAAAATACAGAAAATTTTTAAAAATGTTAATTTTTTTTTATATAAATACCTAACACTCATCTTCCACCTTTACACCACATTTCAATATTTTCTACACTTTCTATACTATCTACATTTCAATATTTTCTACACTTTAAGAGAAAAAAATGTCTTCGTGGAAGCTCATTGAAGATGTTACGTTGTGTGAATGTTGGGTTCACACTACTCATGACCCGATTACGGGTAATGAGATGGATAAGCGAGAAATGTGGAGTAAAATTACAAAAGCGTTTTGCGATGTACATGGAAAAGACGCCAGAATTAGTCAAGGTCTTCAAGGTCGTTAGAAAAAACTAAACGCATCCTTTACTTGTTGGAAAAACGCCATCTCTCATGCTTCCGGTAACCTCCGTAGTGGGACAAATTTAGCGTATCAGGTGACAATATTTTTATTTATTTATACGCATTCCACCCACATCAATATTTTGATTTAGTTAAATTCGTATGTAATTTTTATGTTATTTCTTATGTAAATTTTATATGTATTCCACCCCCATCAAAATTTTAATTTATTGAATTTCTTATGTAATTTTTATTTAATTTCTTATGTCATTTTTATGTAATTTATATGCATTCCACCCGTATCAATATTTTGAATTTATTTATTTGTGTTACACCTGCATTTTTTAACACTATCTTATCCCACATTTTTATAGACACTACAAGCTCAAGCATTCTACAATTCAAAGAACCAGAACAAATCATTCAACAGATGGGAATGTTGGCAAATTGTCAAAGATTGCCCTAAATACAAAATTGTGGCAACCAGTCCAGAAGTTGTCATGCACGGTATGGATCTACATAGTTCTCCAGAATTAGATATGGCCGAACAAGAAGCCGACACATTTGAAGACACGGAAGGGACGCCTGAACAAGTGTCCGAGACCCAACCGACTCGTCAGTCCCTCAAGCCTCAAGGTAAAAAAGCATCAAAGAAAAAAGGTAGTTCTTCCAAAAATGACTACACTAAATATATGGAGGAACTTACTCGCCAAGGTGAACTGAACATGGCACGGGAAAAGGCTAGAGATGAGGAAAAAGTTGCTGCTATGACAGCAATAATAGCAGCTACTAGGGCCCGTGATGTGGCGACTGAGAGACAAAGAGAAATAGTTAATCGAGAGAACGAGCTGGTTAGAGAAGCACTTCATCGAGAAAATGAAATGCTTAGAGAAGAAAGGATGGCTCAAGCAGATCGTGACACTATGAGCAAGTCTCTAATAGGACTGTCTCCGAATTCTAAATATTTTTGGACATCGGAAAAAAAAGATGTCATGCGAAGGAGGCGTGCAAGAGATGTGGAAACAAGTCAAGGGGGTTCTAGCTACACAAATCATGGCATCCAAGATCCTAGCACCACATATCCTAACTCGAGAGACTTTGTATAATTTTTATTTAATTTCTTATGTAATTTTTATGTTTTTTCTATTTTTTTTTAACTTTATTTAATTTCTTATGTAATTTTTATGTTTTTTCTTTTTTTCTTTCGAACTTTATTTAATTTCTTATATAATTTTTATGTTATTTCTTATTTATTTTTATTTTATGCAATTTTAATGTAATTATTTATTTATTTTTGTACTTTATTTAAACACATGAAATAAGATTACATAAACTCACCAAATAAATTTAAAAACAAAACACACTACATAAAATTACATAAACTTAAAAAAAATACAATTTATTCTTCAACCACAAGCCTCATTTTAATTATCTTCGCCTTCATGCAATCCCCACTGGTGCTCAATCAAGTAATTCTGGCGGGTTACGTGCCAATATGGCTCTTGCACATCAGTGTACCGCTGAACGTTCAATTTATTGTAATGTCCATCGCGTTCCAACGGCTCGTATTGCACTGGATCTTCGGTCCGGTCATGAGCACAGTAGATACGTGTTCTTAAGTTGTTCATCAGATTCGGCTCATATTCATCGACGGCATCATAATCATACTCATATTCAACAATCATGTTGTGGAGAATAATACACATCATCATACTCATATTCAACAATCATGTTGTGGAGAATAATACACATCATCATGATGGATCGAAGAGCCTCGACATCAAACATTCTAGTTGCAGCCCTGACAATCGCCCAACGAGCTTGCAGGATACCAAAACAACGCTCGACATCCTTCCTACATCTTTCTTGACATTTTGCAAAGTGTTTTTCCTTTTTAGTATGTGGATGTGGCACTGTTTTGACAAATGTTGACCACCATGGGTAAATACCATTTGCAAGGTAGTATGATCCCTCGTATTGGGTACCATTAACCCAATATGTGCATCTCGTCGATTTTCCTTGCAGCAGTTCGTCGAACACTGGGGGTTGGGCAAGGACATTTAGGTCATTCTAAGCTCCTAGAACACCAAAAAAAGCATGCCAAATTCATGTATCAAATGAAGTCACCACTTCCAAAATGATGCTTTTGGCTCATTTTCTGTCGCCATATGCTCCTTGCCACGCACTTGGACAATTTTTCCAAGTCCAATACATGCAGTCGATGCTTCCAATCATGTCAGGGAAGCCTCGCATCTCACCCTTCCTCAGAAGCCTTCGCATGTCCCTTGGCGTGGGTGTCCGGAGGTACTCATTGGTGTAGAGGGCTTCAATTGCAAAGCAAAATCGCATCAGGGACTCCAAAACAGTTGTTCTTCCCATCCTCGCGATCTCATCTACTTGATCTACAGATGCTCCATATGCAAGCATTCGCAAGGATGCCGTAATTTTTTGCTCGGGAATAAGACCTAGAACATGAAAAGCATCCTCTTTTTGCACAAAGTATGGATCATGGTTACAAATATCACTCATGATTTTGTCGAACAAATTTCGTTGCATTCTAAAACGACGTCTAAAAATATGATCAAAGAATATGCTATTGGGAATAAAATAATCTTCCAATAGATCTTTACCTCGTTTTTCCCGTTTTCTATCGAGGTTTGCAGCACGTCTTAGTTTGGCTATCTGACCCACGGCTTCCATGACACGGCGGGAATGTGAAGTCTTCTGCCTTCTATGGTGATCATCCTCATCCTGCTCAATGAAGAAAGCCTCATCTCCACCTCCACCTTCCTGGAGATTGGCCAATTCTGCCTGTTGTGCCAACAACCTTTTCTGTTGCTCTTGCAATTGTTTATACACCCTTCTTGAACAAGACATTGTAATAAGAACTCAAGATTTGAAAACGATGAACAAAGATTCTGAGCTAAAAAGAATGATTGAGCTTAGTGTGAGGATGGATGTAGGGTTTATATGGACAAAAAAAAAAGAAAGGATGAGGTTCTGGATAAGATAATGAGCATTCAAATGTAAATACCAAATTAACATAACTACGTAGATAAAACTTGGATAAAATCAACTACCTAAATCATAAAACACGCCTCACAAAAATATAAAATTCATCCTATATATTTTGATCACCCTCTAATCTTATTTAATTAAAAAAAAACTACTCCCCCAAAACTCACATTGCCATTTGCACCAAACCACATTATCCATCATTCGAAGAAAACAAATTAAAACACACAAACCAACAAAAGATCGATGACATATCACTGAACACTCCAGCTCCTCTCTCACCATGCAGACTCTCACTCTCCACGCATCCAACAGGTGTCCCTGACTCCCTCCACGTGTCCCCTCCACCGATGTCTTTCTCTTCCTTTAAACCCAAACCCTCATCCTCATCTTCTTCTCACTCTCATTTCTCGACCTCCGCCGACAACAAGCACAGATCTCCCACGTCTCTCGATCCTTCTCCCACACACACATACACACACGCACAGAGATCCAAGGTCTCTCAATCCTTCTCCCACTCCCACACACACGCACAGAGACCCACATCGGCATATCGGCTTCTGCTTCTCCCTCGTCGCCGCCACCGTCGTCTCTCTCCTTTCTCTCTGCGCCGATGGTCCAAGACCCACATACACACATGCACACCCATCATCATCAGCATCCTTCTTCTCCCTCTCCTTCTCATCTCTGCAACTCGGCGAACTCCGACGAGGCCGTGCGTGTCGACTCAATTTCCGAACACCTCCGATGGTTTCACGGCAAATTTCATATATACAAATGTTCATCTCGTCTTCTTTTTCATTTTCATACCTAGATCGGAGTCTAGGGTCCTGTTTTACAGTCGACCGGAGCTTCTACAGCTCCGGCGTTCTTCTTCGAGCGGTCAGCCACCGATATTATCGATAAATTCGATAATATCGCGATATTATCCCGAAAACCAGTTGGATATAGAAAAAAAAATCGGTACTCCTCAAAACCGATAATATCGGCGATATATCGCCGATATTATCGGCATTTCGGACCATGGTTTTAGTTTAACTAAAGTTTTTATTTTATTTTTATCGTTTTCATTGCAGAGTTTGCAATTGGGGTGTGTATACGGTTGTTTTGCATGGCGTCCTGAAACATGTGATCATGTTTACCTTTTTTATAATGACTATGATGATGCAAAGGATATCTACGAGAAATCCATGCGTTGCAAACCCATATGATTAGAGAGGTCGACTTATCTTGGAGGTAATGCTAATAAAAATATGCCACTAACCACCAGTCTCATCTCACTAATTCCAGCATGCTTTTTTAGTGTTGCCCTTGCAATAAATATGCCGTGTTGCAAACAAGCACATAAAAAAACATAACTTTGATTTGGTGGTTTTTATAAGCTCATGATCTTTTCTACATCGAAGATTGATTATTCTATCTTAACCATTTGTTAGATAAGAAAATTGCCTGAGATAGTTCCAGTTTAAATCATCCTTTCTCTCTCTCTCTCTCAATCTTAAATAGAGACATGATTCAAAATTAACATCTCAAATATTGTTGATGCCACATCTTTTGTTGGGAAGTCATGAAACAAAAGACATGTTGCTAAGATCCTCAAAGTTATTTTCATATGATTATATCAGCTTTAATATCTAGTATATTCTAAAGTTGAGGAGCAATTGATAGCTTAGCTACAGTCAAATCTTTGCCACTCAATTTCACTCTATTTACAACAATGCCAGCCAAATGGGGCTAGGTTGGGAGGGTAATTTTGTCCGTATGGTTTAGAACGGATTGAAATGGGTTAGACTCGTGTGCTCTCCTCTCATCTCTCACTCTTCCTGTTTCTATCCTTGTCTACTGGAAAACCCACAATCTTTCATCTTCCTCTGCTTTTCCTCTCTTTGATCCCCATATCTCTCGACATGAAGCACACAAACCAAGTAGTGACAATCGAAAGCCTCAAACATGGCGGAGGCGAAATGGAGGTACAGTGACGGTCGACAACCGCCTCCGGTGTCGATGAATTTGGCCGTCGGAAAGCATCCTCGCTCCGATTATGGTATGTTGAGCAAACATTATGCATGGACTTGGAACTTCTTCCTTTGAATTGTAGTTGGAAGGGTGTATGATAAATTTAGTGGGATTTGAGCATGAGCCGGTATATTTAAATGTTGCCGTCCTCCACTGTTTGAGCCTGGGCCTCCTCTACCTCCATAGTGGTATATTTTCTTAGGAGCCTACTTTGCATGAATTATTTTGTATAATTGGTTGACTTAAATCTTTATTTGATCTAACTATTCCAATTTGGCTAATTTGTTTTTTAATTTTTTATTATATTGGAGTTGAATTTGGTATTTTGAGTATGCTATCTTTGGATGCTTAGAAAGATAGTAATTTACTTTTGTCTTTGATTTTTCACTGATGGGATGTTGTGATGGGGTTTAGCAATTTTCAGTACTCTTCAATTATTTTGAATTTGCAAAATCAAATAACTCATGGAAATAAATTAATATTTCATTAATCTGTATTTAAGAGAACTTTACAATATGTCATCAAGTTTAGACCGACAATAATGAATGGCAAACTTAGGATTAATGCCTCTATTAATTTGATGTTTTCTCATGGTCGAAAAATATATACAGCTGTCTTATTTATTGGACAACATCATTCATCCTCTATATTTAATATTAATTGCTTTTCTTAATCTAGTTTTCCGTCAATCTGTACTGCTACATAATCTCATCTGGTTTTCGATTTTGTGAAATGTTTTGGAGGGGGGGAGTGTGAAATGTGTTGATGCTGATGATAGTGCCGAATTTGGTGACACTCCTCAACTAGCAGAGCAGGTAACAGAGCTTTTTCCAACTCAAATTTAATGATTCAAGCTAGCTAAGATTTGCATAACATTCCCAAGTTGTAGTCGATGTGCCTAAGTGGTTGAGCGCTTGACTAATGTATGTAACCACTAAGATTTGGATTGTTTTTGTGGAGTAACAAATAACATTGCTAATTTCAGATTTATGGGTTTGAATTTTTAGTTCATTTTGCTTGTCAGTTTATCTAACTTCTTTGAACCAAATGCAAATTCCAATCTTGCATTGTTACGCCTTGAAATTAGAACAAAAAAAACTTGCATGAAATTGAAGTTCTCTTATTGAGATCTCATTTTTCTTCTACTTGAAGTTT